GAGCTTGAACACCTATTTAACGAGTGTATGCATGAATTACATTTTGCAAGAAGGAACTAGAAGTATTATAATGATGCTAAGATTGTGCATTTTCATCCTTTGCAATAAAGTTACTGAAATGATGAAAAAATATGCATTTTAGATCGTAATTTTTTTCTTAAATTTACGGTTTTTAACGAGTAAAGTAGAAAATGTCAATTGATAATCAGATTTTTATTCCAAGACAAAAGAAGTTGCACAAAACTCGGATTCAGAAAATAAATTACATGAGAGAAAAGGCGACAAAATCTCTCATTTCCTGAGAGTAAAAGTATAGTAATTTCTAATATTTTCGTCTTTCGGTGACACAAGATACAACACCTTTAATTTGTCGAGTTAAGAGAGAAACCAAACACGCAATTTGACGTGGAGCGGAGCGGCGCAGAGAGCAATGATGACGAGGACTGAGATGAAAAGGAGAAGCCCTCAGCGCGGCGGACGGCTTGAAACGCATAGCGCCTGCAGGATTGCACGAATACTTCACGCATTGCGTTAAACAGTGCGGTCAGCAGCGGTCGGCGTGAAACGCATAGCTCCTACAAGACAGCATAAATACTTCACGAATTGCGCCAAACACAGTGCGGGTTTACGGAACTTGATTTTCGCGTGAAGTTCCGTGAACTTTCGTTAGTGTTGATAGGGCTCTCACAAAAAATGTGCCCAACATGAGTAAATGCGTCTCAAACACCCTTCCCCCACCGGCACGTTCACTTAAATAATGAGAAGGGGACGGAAAAATACAGGTGGCCCATGGGGCGGCAAGTGGGTAAATCCGGCCCTGTTCGCGAGATTGTGTGTTTGTTCATGACCTCATTTGATCACATTGTAAACCATACGAGGCCCCCCTAAGAAGCTGGATATGAAAGGACAATGAAAACGGCCTTGGTGGGTTATTACGCAATACTTGAAGGCGCCCTTAGATATAATGATGGCAAATGATGAAGCGCAGAATGCTGCCGTGCTAAGGAAAAACGCCGTATGTGCCTTCGGGCGTTGCCGAATTTCCTTGGACAAATCACTAATTTTCAGACAAATTTGTGCATATTTTTCTTCCAATTTATGAGATAATTTTGTTTGTAATTTGATCTAAAGTGTCTTAAGATTTCAAGGAAAAATATTCACAACTTTCTTCAAAATTAAACATTTTATCGGAGGAAATTTGGCAACACTCGAATGTACATACGGCTCTTTCCCTTAGTATGGCAGAATGTAGGAGCAACGCTGTGGCGTGCTAAGGAAAAACGCCGTACGAACATTCGAACGTTGCCAAAGTCCTTTGATAAAACAAGAATTTTTGAGAAAACTTGTAAATATACTTATTTTAATTTTGTACAGAATTTCATTCGCAATTTCATCTGAAGTATCAGAAAAATACCAGGTGATATACCCATAACTTGCCTTAAAAATATCATATAATTGAGAGAAATGTAGCAACATCTGGATGTTCATAAGGGGTTCTTCCTAACCACGGCAGTGCCGCTGACAAGACGCGAGGTAAGGAAACGAAAAAAAAACCGCGGTAATGAGAGGGTTCCGGGCTGAAAGAGTCTGGTGTGCCGGGAAAGGAAAGGCGTCCGAGGGACGAGCAAAAGGGATGAGCAAAGGGTGAAAGGGAACATTCACGCGCCAAGGCCGCCATCTCATTCAAAACCACCCTTAAACCACGCATCAACACCTTCTACCTCCACCCCAATATATCCTGCGGTTTCGACGTTACGCGCACTTTCATTCACGCCCCACGAGTTGAATCCTCAGCGTTACTTACGAAAAAAAGGATCTTAACGCCGTCGCTAATGCCTGACTCCGATAACAGCGATTACTGTATTTTAACGTCACAGAAAAAGTGTTTCTTGGGCGAAGGGACAAAACCCAAGGTTAGAAAATTGACAAAGACAATGTAAATTTTTAACAGAGATATGACTGTCCTGTTTCTATCCAAAATAAGCCGGACTAGACGAGCTGCGACTCTAAGCATTCCAACTTGTTTCCTCTTCAAAATTTAACTTCAAACACGATTAACTACTGAAATTAGTTCTAGTACCGAAATTAGATAGCTACTGAAATTAGTTCCGAAGCAAGATATCAACGTTTCATTCGGCCGATTGAGCACAGAGGAGAATTTCATGAGCGCCACCGTTCGCGGCGCACTATGGCCCAAAACTCAAGAATAGGAAGAAATAAGTCGAATAATGATTGATAGATCACGAAAATTCGTAACTGATGTTTTTTGAGTCTTACATTTTAAGAAGCACTCTGCGGCGCGGCGTGCGGCGTGCTGCGAGCTCGGAACACACATCGGCGCCTACAAACCTAAAGGGATACTTCGCGCATTGCGCAATGCGTGAAGTATCCCCTTAGGTTTGTAGGCGTCGGTGCGCGTTTCGAGCTGGCAGCACGCCGCGCCGCGGCTATCCCGGCGGACGGGTATGGTGAACGATTTCTTGCGGGGAGGGCTCCCCGACGGAGAGACTCGTGTATGGTGTAAACAATTTTTTTTAAATTTTCGACTTATAAAATTACACACTGGTCGCGTGAAGTAATTAGTGAACTCTCAACGCTACATGAAATGTTATTATGAAGGCGAGGGTCGTTCGCCATTCGCGCTGCGAACGGCGCAGGGCGGCTCATGAAATTCTGCCCTTGTGCTTATGGCGCCATTCGGCACTGGTTACGACAAATTTGAATTTCCCGCTCTCACGAAATACCAGAGTCTACTTGACTTGCTTGCAATAATAATTTTCAAGTAAAATTTTGATGAGAAGACTTATATTTTAATAGTACATTTTTTTAATATTTTCAACATATTTTTTTATAATGCTAAAATTTGCACCTCATCTAGTGGTTCATTCTTCGTTATTAGAGTTCTTGTTTCCAGTGCTGCCATTTCCTGAAATTATTTTCAAAGTTCGGAACTTTACAGGAAATCCTCGGAGTTCTCGTAATAATCCGGAATTTTCAGCTATTTTCGTAATTTTCGCAGAATTTCGGGTTTACACGACAGTTTGACCGATTATTTGATCAAATTTATTGATTTTTGTGTCAAATTAGATGATTTTTTTAACTAAATTCCGGGCGTACTTTGAGATTTTTTCCGGAACTTTTGAAAATCAGAATTAATATTGGGAAGCCCGGCATCTTCGGTAAAATACAGCACTGCTCACTTCTTAAGAAGAACATGACTCAAGGTAAAGTGATTAATTCAAACAATATTTTGACAAATGGATGACTTTGCCACTCATATCCAAAATTTTGCTGCATTTTGCGTCTAATCAGGAGAAAAATATAATATGTGTCTCCTGATTGGATTCAAGAGAAATAGGGCTCAAAGAGTGCGGAATGGGACGCGATTTGGAGCGAGAGAACTGGAGCATGAAAGGAAGACCTCGCGGGGAAGTAGGACGAGTTTTGACGCAAGAATCAACGACTTGGAACTTGGAGCTGTTCAGGGCTCATCTCCAGAGACGGATACCATGCAGCATTGCTAAGTAAAAACGCCGTATGAACATTCTAATGTTGCCAAATCTTTGTCTTAGCACTGCGCATCATGCTTATGTTTTCTCCAGGAAATTTTCCGAGGAAAACAAGGAACGTAAAGGGATAGTTGGATCAACTCCTTGGCAAATATAAATGTTTATGATTAAAATGGAGACTTTGAATGCAAATTTTTATCGCTTCACCTGAAAGTGCTCAAAGAGCGTCTAAAAACGTCTTTTGCAAAAAGTAACTACAATTTGCAGTTCTCTTTAGAAACAACGTACTTGCCATTCGCTCCTCCATGGAGATAGGTGCTTTTTAGAAAAAAAAATAGGAGGCTCAGAAATTTGAGTTCCTTATTGCAAAATGACATCCAAATCTTAACAAGTTTCGCCGAAAAAGTATCTTTCATCAAAGGGGATTTCACGTCACCGGAAAGCTGATACTGCGTTTTTCTTGAGCATGGCAGCAGAGCCTAGCTTTCTCCTCTGCGGAGATCCGCCTGAATACTAACCTAGTTCTTGGGAGCGTCGCTCCCAGCGGAGACCTCCTTCGGTCCCGCTCCATCGAACTCGCTCGCGTCAAGAAATCGCGGCCGAGAGAGTCTTCGGATGCGGTTGACCCGCTAAAAAACCTCGTATCCGACACATTCTCCTTAGCGATGGGACTTTTTGTCTTTCTAGTTTTAGACCGGATGTCTAGTTTTTTTCATTTTCGGAAATCCCGATCAAATCCTGATTATTCCTGATTTTTGACTGCTAAATACTGATTTCGTAATTTTCCCAAATCCTGATTTTTCGGTGCGAAAATTAAAATTTCTTCATGAGAGTAGACCGGTGTCTAGTTTTTTCATTTTGGGAAATCCCGATCAAATCCTGATGTGTCCTGATTTTTAACTGCCGAATCCTGATTTCATAATTTTTCCAAACCCTGATTTTTTTATGAATTTAAAATTTCTTCATAAGTGTATGATACAGCGTGAAAAAATCCAATCAGACGGCTGAATTTTCTCAAATCTTGATTTTACGACCGATTTTTAAAAAAACTGATTACGGTGGACGCACGGGTCGTAAGAAAATATTTTGGAGTTTTTTTGCGAATGTGCGTTAAAAATTTAGCATCAAGCTGAAAATCTCAAGACAGAGGGAAAATGCTCATTTGAGCGCAGTTACATGGACGTAACTAGTGTTGCACCAATGCACCAAAAAGCATATCTCTTTGAGGGAAAACTGTGCTCAAATGAGCTTTTTCCCTCTGTTTTGAGATTTTCAGCTTAATGCTGAATTTTTAACGCACGTTGGCAAAAAACTCCAACATACCGATTGTTCCTCAAGTCCAGCTGAAATCGGGAAAATCGATGAAATCCTGATGCAAGACAGTAGACAACCTATTTAAAATGTTATGAGCTGCAAATAAATGCTGCAGACTAAACTTAGAGACGTTATACGTTATGCGACGAAAGTCAAGGGAATGAAGCAAAAACTCACCACTTTCAGCGCCGCAAACTCGAGGAACTGTTTCGAGGATCGGGGCACACGAGGGGTCGTCAAAACACATCTGCCGAGCCAGCAGGCAGTTGAAAGTTTTGATCTTGTTCGTCACTTCGTTCTCGGACGTTCCTGCAAAAAAGAAGAGAGAAATCGGTTACCACACGTCATACAGAAAAATGGAAGATCGAGCCGAAACAGCCATACATTCACGTCCTTATCACACAATGAAATGTTTGGATTTCCTTTGCGTCAAAAAAATTTAGGCTGAGTCTTCAAACCAGGAGCAGATTATTCTGCCGTGCTAAGGAAGAATGCCGTACGAGCCTTCAGACGATGCCAAGTTTCCTCCGATAAAAACCAAAATTACTGGGAAAATTGTGAATATTATTTTCTCAAATTTTCAAACAATTTTACACACAATTGAATCCAAAATATCTGAAAATTTCAAGGAAAAATATGCATAAATTTCTTCAAAAAAATAAGTTTTATCAAGGAAAATTTGGCAACTCCCGAATGTTCATACGGCGTTCTTCCTCAGCACGGCAGTATTGACCTTTTTCGGAACTTGCCTCCATCCCCGCCAGAGATGGAAAATTTCATGAAATTTATTCAAATGAAATTTCATGAAATATAATGCAACTTCTGGGGATACATTTAGGAGGCTAAGAAACGCCTAGAAACAGTGGTTCTAAATTTTGAAATGTTTTACCCCAAGCCTAAAACATTCGCGCGTTGCAAATGTTTTCGTTTAGTTTAGAGGTTCGGTCGGGGTTTTTCTCTCTAAATGCCCTTTTTGCCCCCTCTTTGTGCTTGGCACCTTCAGTATAGAGTAGCATAACACCGCAGCATCAACAGAAAGACCATCTGACACGCTTTCAGACCTCCGAAGGTTCAAGCGATAATTCTAAAAAAAATTAATAAATTTCAACTTTTGTGAAATTTATTCGAGCCTTATGAAATTTCACTTTCCATCTCGATCCCGGCCACTCTCGATCACACTTGTTTTTATTGCCCAAGCCGGCAACCCGGACGAAAAACAAAAGACAAAACGGGCGGGCCTGCAACGGGAACGACATCGGGATTGCAATTTAAAGGCGAGCTTATTGGGCGGCCGTAATCCAATCGGGCAGCGCTAAAGTGATTAAAAACGCTTCATCCGCGTCAGCGTGGATTAGCGGCCCGGAGCCAGCCAGCCTCCCCCCCCCACGGCCCCGCGACTCGCTCATATTTACGAGTGATTGAATTCGCAGTTACACATCGCGTCGCCCCGGGCCCCCGGCCGCACAGTGGATCCAGTCAATAGAAGGGGTCGGGCACAATTTGGAAACTTCAAAAGCTTGTAACAGGATTGCCATAGAATTTAGAAGATGAAATTCCCTGACATTTCCCTGACACATTTTGGTGAAATTCCCTGACAATCGAAGATATGCCAGATGGTCAAAACGACATAATTACAGATAGTTTTTAGGAGAATTGGTTGTTCGAAACGTCAAACCTTTCGTAGAAAGCAAAAAGAGGTGACCTAAGGATTTTCCCTGACATTTCCAGGTTTTCCCTGCCTTTTAAAAATTCCCTGATATTTCCCGGTTTTACCAGTATTTCCTGACTGTGGCAACCGTGTTGTAACTCTGTTTTTGAGGTGAGTGTGTTGTAACCCTCGCAAAAAATTGTGAGGTTCTAAAAGTGGTTTCATTGGTTTCCTCGTGAAATTTTCTTCCAGTAGCACCCCTTAAAATTTAAAATGTGATGAAATAAATAACAAAATTTGAATTTATAGTTAAAGATTTCATGTCCGACTTCCTTGATTGACTTGATCCACTGTGGGCCGCCCCGCAATTGGGTCACAACGGTCGCGCCCTCCATCTGCCCCCCCGCTCTCCTCCTCCCAGCCTCGGGGTCTTGCGTTTAACGTTACGGATACTCTTACGTCGTACACTGCATGTTTGCCTTGAATGGATCGCATTCGATAGTGGTTCGATATATCGTTTGCTTCAAAACAATAGAATATAACCTCAAACAAAATTTTTAGGATTTGAGTTGAAAAAGCTGGAAATGACAAAATATCTAACAGTATCACTTTTCATTGCCATTTGGACGTACTTCTATCAAACAGAACTATGTGCAGAGGGAAAGATGGGGTGTGCTCGTTCGTTCTCGGGCCCTAAGAATGAATCGGAAATATAAAGCGCCAGTGACGTCAACGGCAGCGACGAGAGGAACGACGATCGGGAAGGCGTTCTTTAACTCACATGAGCCCTGTGCACAAGGCTCTAGATACATGCCCACGGCTCATACACTGCGCACATAGTTCCGTTTGACAGAACGTGAAATCCCGCTTCTCCAATTCTGCAAACGGAACTGTGGGCCAACTAAGTGTGGCACCCATGAGCCGTGGGCATGTATCTAGAGCCTTGTAGACAAGGCTAATGAGTTAAAGAACGCCTTCCCGATCGTCGTTGCGGCTGACGTCATTGGCGCTTTATATTTCCCATTCATTCTTATGGCCCGAGCACCAACGAGCACACCCCATCTTTCCCTCTGCACATAGTTCTGTTTGATAGAAATGCGTCCATTTGTAATGAATGGACCACGAGATGAGTTAAAAATCCAACCTGTAAAAGAAATGGCGACCGTTCATAAAATCGCAATGCTTCAATGGTGGGATTGGCTATGAGCGATGAGAAGGAGGAGGTAGTCCAGTTGAAAGAAATATCATCGAGGACTGTGCAAAATTATTGACGTTTATGAACAAATGACTCGTAGGAATTCCGTTTATCAACCGTATGAACACCATCATTACGATTCCCCGAGGTGCAGTCAACGTTATGATACAACTGGCTCCGCGAATTCATTTGCTGCTAATTAACTGCATCGCCATTCGATCCGAATAGGACTGTAAAAGCGCAGTATATTGGGCGTTCGATAAAAGAGGTCAGCACGCATGATATATAACCCGACGGATTCGCTTTTACGACCATCGTCCTCGCGTCACACACACATGCGTTTACATGTATTCTACAGACACATTACTGGCATGTTCATAAATACATGCACTAACGCATTTACATTCGTCGCAAGCAAGTAATGGGCCTGTTGCAAACTTTTGCTAGAGCAAAAATAAGAGTTGTTTCCTATAGATAAGGCCTCAAAAATCACGATGAGCGCATCGGCAAACTCTGAAATGCACTCATAACTTCACAATCTGCGTAAGAAATTTGCGGTTTTTTGAGCTTCCCGCTTCAAAAACGATACTACGGCACAGGTGAACGTTTTGTTAGAGGAGTCGTTCCATCGTCGGCAATATTCATCATGGCCGACGCCAATCCGCCAAAACACGTGTGATGGGACGAGATAACACCTGAGCAGCATTAGACCAGATAACAATCGGCGTATTTACGTTCATATTTTCCTCGCCCGCCCTGATTGACCTTGAACTCTCCTCAAATTACTCGCGGAACTGCGCAAGCGTCGGCCACGATAAATATTGCCGACGGTGGAGGAACTCCTCTAACAAAATGTTCACCTGTGCCGTAGTACCGTTTTTGAAGCGGGAAGCTCAAAAAAACGCAAATTTCTTACGCAGATTGTGAAGTTATGAGTGCATTTTAGACTTTGCCGATGCGCTCATTGTGATTTTTAAGGCATTATCTATAAGAAACAACTCTTATTTTTGCTCTAGCAAAAGTTTGCAACAGGCCCATTAAATCAGGAATTTTGACAAATACAAACGTAAAATGCCAAACATTCTCTTCCGGATTGAAAGTCTGTCTCTTCTGCTCATTTTGGACAAAAAATAATTCGTCTTCATTGGTTCAGGACCAGACTCAGGGGGTGGCCACATGGGCCGTGGCCCATGGCGGCAAAAGAGGGCGGCAAATGCTGTAATTTTTTCAAATGTGGATATTCAGAAAAAAATCTGATTCAGAAAAAAAATTACAAACGAGAAAAGGCGAAAAAATCTCTCATATCCTGAGAGTGAAAGTATGGACATTTCTAATTTGCTCGTCTTTCGGTGATACAAGAGACAGAAGTTGAGAGAGAAACCAAACACGCAATTTGGCCTGGAGCGGCGCGGCGCGGCGCAGAGAGCAATGATGACGAGGACTTGAGAAAGAAAGGAGAAGGCCTCGGCGCGCCGCCGGTCAGCATGAAAGACATATTAGCGCCTACAAGACTCCATGAATACCTCATGCATTGCGTCAAAAATAGTGCGGCCAGCAGCGGTCGGCGTGAAACGCATAGCGCCTACAAGATAGCATGAATACGTCACGCATTGCGCCAAACGTGGTGGCGGAAATTAAAATCATTAAACCACATTCATGTTCATTCTTTCATAATTTTTCCGTTCTTTGCTGATAAAATGAAAGGCCTCGTCCACACAGAGATAGGTTTACGGAACTTAATTTTCGCGCAAAGTTCCGTGAACTTTTGTTAGTGTTGACAGAGTTTTCACCAAAAAATATGCCCATCGCGAGTAAACGCGTCCTTTGCACCCCTCCTCCTCCGTCACTTCACTTGATGGTTTGTATCGATGTGGTTGTATTGAAACGAATGAGAAAGGTCGACAAAATACGGGAGGCGCATGGGCGGCAAGTAGGTAAATCCGATCCTGCATAGGTTAGAATTATTTTTATAAATTTGCATCAATTTTTGGTTGGGTTGCGCAGTTTCTAACTCAGAAATGAACATTCTTTTTAAAAGATGCAGAATGTTTTAAACTGCAGATTTTTTTTCCAAATTTGACGGTTAAAATTATATGAGGAGCATTTCGAAAACAAAAAATACAATAATAGTTCGTGGTTTGATAGACTCTTACTTTCAAAATATTAACGATTCGAAAGCTCATTGGAAAAACATCGAGACTTCGTGAACTTTCAACGTTTGAATATCTGCCTACTTATTTGATTAAATACCTGATTTGACTAATTGTCTGCACCACATACACGTAAATTCTGAATCTCTTATCTGATGTGAGCTACAAAGAAAAAACAAAAACTACGAACCGCGATAAAATGTACCTAACTCTATCTCTAATTACATTAGAACTCATATTAGAAACCAAACATGAAGGGCTCGGAGGACAAGGCGCATAAGTGCAGTTTTTGAAAAATTTGAGATATTAATAATCA